TGTGGCTTCTACCTTCAAGGGATGACAGAGTAGTTGGGGAAATGAACATTCACTCGTTTATTCATCCTATCAATAGATGCTTATTGATACCTACTATGTGTCGGGCTTTGTGAGGCTCGATGTCCCTCTCCAACCACCAGCCCAAATAATTGTCTAGTTGCTTCTTGATTACCTCCACTGATGGTGCACTCACTACCTTTCCACTGTTTATTTTTTTCATCACAAAATTCTCCCTCATATACAGTAGTGGGAAAAACATGGAATGAAACAGCTCTAGATTCAAATCCAAGATCTGTCACTTACTAGATGTCAGGCACGGGCAAGCCACTTTACTGATCTGTTTAATGGGAATAACAATACCAGTCACTGTGCAGAAGACGCATGAGATTACTGGGGGCTAGGGCAACTCTGGCCCCACGTGGTCATCAGAGTGACGGTTTGCAATGGATGGGCTACAGGCAGAGTTCCAGCTGTGACCTCATTTGATGCTCACGGCCAGTCACTTGGGAGGCAAGCAATGGTAGCAATGTTATTTTACAGAGGAGAAGCCTGGGCTTCAGAAGGTTAACTCCCAGAGTGACATGAACAGGGACAAAGGCTGGACTGGATACAGTGGGGTGTTTCTAAAACACAAATCTAACCCTGCCATCCTCCTGCTAAAATCTGTCAACACATCATTCTTGCAGACCTCAGCCCAAAGCAAGGCATTCGAGGTCTTCCTCGATTCAACTGCTTTGAGCCCATCCTCATCCGTCCTGGCCTCCACCTCCTTCTGGCTCCACCCTGCCCCCTGCGCCAGGCTCTCCAGGCCCCGGGCTCTTGCACGCGTTGCCAGCTCGGTGCCTGTGCACCTGGGTCCTTGCACATTGGGTTCCCACTCCTCCTTCCTCACTGCTCCATCCCCACCCCCTCTTCAAAGCCCACTCCCCACGCCTCGTGTCTTAGGAAGTCCTCTTCAGCCGCAGCACACACACAGCCCAGCCGCGCCGTCATCCCATAGGCAGGTCTGTTTGGTTCTCACACTACATGTCCAACACCTGATCAAAGCTGACTGCAGACGTGTTGAATAAATAAATGAAAGGGGAGATAAATGAGTGGACGCCATCGTCATAGCAGTGACTGCACTGAATTGCAATGGTTGTTTATGTGTCTGTTGGCCTCACTAGGTGGAGAGCCAGTCAGGGGCTCTGTCTTATGCACCTTTGTCTCCTCCCAGTCTGGCACGAAGCCGGCTGCATAGTAGGGATTCAATAATCATCTGTCCCTAGAATGACTCAGTCAGTGTGCACATCCCCAGCTAAACTGTCCGTGCGTGAGGGCGGACACCACCTCGGGCCAGTCATCTGTTTTCCCTTGTACTCACGTAGAGAGGCTAGGATTGATCAATTATCAGGAGTCTGGACTCACTTGAGGCCTGCAGACACACGCCCTAGGTGTCAATGCTGGGCAAGGCAGCTGGCACTCAGAGAGACGCTCACACACCAAACCCAGGAATCTTCAGGTCCCGGGGTCCAGAGGTTTTCCCCCTGCACAGCTCTTGTCCAGCACCTTCTCCCCTGGCCTCAGTCAGGGAGGTTTCCTACCACTAGATGGTGCCAACCACAAAGGCTGGCTCAGCCGACCGCCCACAGCCCTTCCCTCCTCTGCCCAGGGATGCCGTAAGCGGCTTCCCTGTCCAAAGGAGGACTTCTCTGCAGCTTCCCCTAACCAGCTGCCTGCCCTGGTACCTCTAGGCAGGCACTTAGAAAGGAAGCCTCCTTCCAGGCATCTTTAACTTTGGATGGAGATAGGAGGATGGATAGCGATCCCAGGAGTGGAATACCCACCCGGTTCCAGCCCATGCCAGCTCAGCTCAAAGGGTCCAGATCCCCAGCTCTGTTCTGGACAGAGTGGGGGTAGGGAGGACCCACAACCGAATGAGTGTAAGAGGAGACAGGCTTCTGTGTGCCATGTGCCATGTGCCAGGCCCTACCTAGTGCTGCCACATCCACAACACCACTTCACCCTCCCAACTGTCCCCAAAGGGAGGTGAGCGTGATTGTGCCCATATCACAGATGGGAAGGCTGAGGCTCAGAAGGATGAAAATGCTGTTCAAGGCCACGTGGAAATAACTCACGTTGGACTGTCTCAGGTTGCATGCTCTTTTCTTGACACCCAAACTTAGTGCCCTGAGGAGAGGTTCCAGTACATGATGCCTTGACTATCAAAGACATCAAAGCCCTTTTAGCTGACAATCCCCCATCCACCCATTTCACCAATCCACACATATGGAGCCCTACTGTGTGCCCTGTACTATATTTCAGGCGCACAGGAGACCCAAGGTCTGGGCCTTGCCCTTTCTAAGTTCACATTTCAGTGAGCGAGGTAAGAGCAGGGAAGGCTTCCTGGAGGAGAGGGCATCTTCATTTCCTCTGCTGAGAGCACATCCTGATTCTGGGAACTCTCAGAGATGATCTGCTAGTGCTCACAAGGCTCTGAGGCTTCTAGGGTCATGGACTGACAGGGAAACGTCTCTCCTCAAAGTCAAAAAAGGGGTGTGTGTGTGTGTGTGTGTGTGTGTGTGTGTGTGTGTGTGAAAGAGAGAGAGTGTGTGTATGTGTCACTGATTTGGAAATGTAGGGGTTTGCATCCTATTGTGTTTTGAGGAAACACAAACAAGGGCAGGCTAACTAGTGCCTCCCAGGTGAATGCCACTCAGCACTGCCAGCCCCGAGAGCTCTCTGCTCCGCAGCAGCAAGGCCTTCCAAGGCCACATTGCACACAGTGCCTTCCTCCCTGCAGGGGGCTGCAGGCAAGATCTTTTTGGCTATTCTGGTGTCTGTCTGGGCCCTAACAGAGAAGCCACCCATGTGTTCCTAACGAAGACTGGCACTGTGCAGGCACTCTGTGGGTGGCTGCCCCGCCCTGCCCTCATTCCATGGAGTTCACAGGCATCCACCTCCAAACACACACAAATGTTTAATTGCTGAGCCTGCCTAGCAGCTTAAGGGAAAGCCAGGCACATGTAGGTCGGCGGTCAGGAGAGTTCGCCCAGACAAAGGGGGCCCAGGTAAAAAAGACAGAAAGAACCTCTCAGCCACAGGGAGCTGCATCGCAGTGGCTGTGGGGCAGGGAAAGGGTGGATTTGACCAAGTCCTGAAATCAAGCCTGTGGGTGATGAAAGCTTCAAGTCGGGTTTCATCTGTTGACTTGCAAGGACTTTATTTATTGCACCGATATTTACTGCATTTATTGTGTGCCAGGTTCAGAGCCAAGTCAGACGAATTCAGAAATTCATTTCAACCACTTTCCTTGTCCCCGGTCCTCCAAGGTGCAAGAGCAGACCCCACCCACCTGGGCACAGCAATTATTGCCCTGGTGCTCAGCGAGCTTCCAGGCCTCCCTCAGAGGCCCGCGATTTGCAGAGTCAATGCCTCGGATTGTAGTAAATCACCTCTAAGACTTGCTTTTCCCATAAGCTGTGGGTTCCCCACTCATAGGGGCTTTTAAAATTTATCCTCAAATGTCTAAAACTTAAGAGAGACTATGAGCTAACTCTGCAAATGTTTGTTGAGTGAAAGAACCCGGAGGTGGCAAAAGTGAACGGGCTTGCGATGCGAGTTGGGAGGTTAGTTTGCGTCTTGGCCTTGCTGTGAACTGTGTCATCCTGGGAGTGTCCATCGGTCTCTGGGTCTTGCTTTCCTTTCCTGTAAAGGGGGGGATGAATCTGTCTGCACAGCTCAGCACCAGAGCCTGGTGCTCAGAGTGGAAGGCAGATCTGTAACCCCACAAAGCAGGCTCCTCTGCTCTCAGATGGAGGGAGCAGCCCAGAGCCCAGCCAGCCCCCGGCCCCAGCCCCACAGAAGCCCTGGGTTCACCTCTGCTTGCTTCAGAACTCAGGCGTCAAGGATGAGAAGCCCTGGACAGAATGCTCCATGGCCCGCTCTGGAGTGGGAAGACTGACTCACAGCCTGCTCCAGCCCCCGCGCCTGTGTCCTCAGGCGATTCTCTTCCTCTCGTAGGCCCAGATCTCCTTCAAGATAGAGGAAGGGGCACAGATGGGATTCAGGGAGGCAGCCAGATGGGACGGCAGGTGACTGCATGCCGGAGACACAGGCAGCTTGAAGCTCCTGCACTCAGACACCCAGGCACCTCCGTCTGCCGTTCCCCAGGCCTGGGCAGCTCCTCGGGCCTTGGTTTCCCTTCCCAGCTAGCCAATGGTTATTTATGTTCATCACATTTGCCAGAATAAAGATGAAGCTGTTTGGGGGGGCTGGGAATGGCAATGCGGGTAGGAGTGCGAGTTGCTGGAGTGGAGTGTGTGGGGGTGTGGGGAGTTTCATTGCCCTGACAACAAAATAAAAGGGCTCCTCCATGCAGGGCTTATGCTGGCAAAGGAAGCAGGACTTACTCCTCGGGGGCCAGGGCCCATGCAGCTCCCAGGAGCTAGAAAGCTGGACACCTGCTGCTGCACCATGCCAGCCCTTTCCGATACTCAGAGGGGGAAAAAATAGATCAGCGGGCTGAAAGCGGTGTGAGGTAGGAGCCCTCTGACTCAGAGAGGCCCTAAGGACTCTCAGTGAGCAAAGGAGCTATCCCTGCAGGTTGTCACAGAAGAGCCATGGGATGCGCGCCCCGTGCAGCCACGTGACTCGCAGCCAGCTTCTACCTGCTCAGGGCCTCGGCTTCCTCCCTGTAAAGTGAGGCCACCTCATTTACCTCGGGGCTGCAGGGACAATCACTCAAGAAAGGACAGGAGCAGGGGCTGAGGTGGAATCTGGGCTCTGCCACTGACCAGCAGAGGGATTTGGGCAACTGGTTTAACTTCACTGCACATTGGCTCCTGTTTTATTTGTTTTATTGAAAACAAAGGAGATGTTTGGCCATCAAAAGCATGATAGAAAAGTAATTTTTTGAAAACCTTTTGAACAGAATGAGGATAGAAATGCAATGGCAGGGCCCTTCAAGCACTGAAACCCCTGCCTCAGCAGCCCCCTTACCTGCTGCCCTTCCTCTGCAGGCCTTCTCTCCAACCCTCACGACCATGGACTTTACCCCAGCTCCACCGGAGGACACCTCCTCACGCCCACAATTCTGCAAGTGGCCATGTGAGTGCCCACCATCCCCACCCCGCTGCCCGCTGGGGGTCAGCCTCATCACAGACGGCTGTGAATGCTGTAAGATGTGTGCTCAGCAGCTTGGGGACAACTGCACGGAGGCTGCCATCTGTGACCCCCACCGGGGCCTCTACTGTGACTACAGTGGGGACCGCCCGAGGTACGCAATAGGAGTGTGTGCACGTAAGTGAGTCCCTCCATACCTTCTGACCAGCCCCTAGCAACCCCAGCTCTGGCCCCAAAACCCTCTACCTTGGGACCCCCACAGCCTTTCACTTGGCCAGGCTTCTGTGTAGCAGAAGGTATACCCCATGGTCAGAGGCCAGAGGCTGTGTCCTTCCTGGGAAGGGGAGGGAAGGATGCCTGCAATCCTCTTGCCTCCAGAGCTTTGCATCTTGCTTTATTCTCAGTCCTAGAGGCACACTCATGGCTCTCCCCAGGGAAGAGGGAGACGCCATGAAATACCTAAGCCTGATTTTGTTCTCTTAGCGGTAGGACCTTTTAACAAATGCCCATGGCCTACCAGGACACACCAGTGTACCGCAGAACTCCAGATATTTTGATAATATTGTAAATTAAAACAATATGGTTTTAAAAATCCAGTAGTCTTGAAAGAATGAAAACCAGCAGGCTGCAGTCATCCCTTTCCACCAGCTACTGACATTTCTGTTTCTCAGTTACTACGGTCACTTGAATTTTCTAGTTATTTCTTCTGATAGTTACTACCATAAAATACATGTCTTCTGCTATATCTTAATTGCCTTGATATATTAATTTTGTATAATCTATTAATTTTCTATGATAGCTGATGATTTAGCTCCCCAATACCACCTGATATATCCCTACCTTCCAAATATCATTGTCATAATTTTTGGTTATACAATCATCAGTATTTATAATATTATGACTATGTAAATATTGTACACTGCAGTATGACATCATGTACTTGTTTGAATTTCCTTACTTATGATGCATTTTGTTTTTCCTGGACTTTCTAATTGCCTTTGCTTTTTCTTTATGTCTGGTCTATTATGATATTCTCCTGTTTGGAGGTAAGATTGTTGTTGATTGCTGTTTTCTTTGGTCTTCAAGTGCTCCATCATGGGTATTCTGTCCTTTTTTCTTCCCAGACAACTCTTTTATGAAACTTTCTGACCTCCTGCTTCTGTCTGGACTTGTATTCCCTTGAATTGTGTAAGCATTACTCAAAATACATGACTCATCAGATTAAGAGAAGTAACCAGGCATTACGATGCAGTAGCCTAACTTCTGAAAACTTCCATGAAGCTTCATAAACCAAAAACTCCCTTCTTCCCTTAGTGCTGAATCAAACCTTGCCCTTAACTATGACTCCATATACACCCATCACATAGTCACATGCAACATGATGTCTCATCCTCAGCTAATCATTGTATTTCCCGAGGTGGATTGTCAATGAGGGTTATGCACATCATTTGCAGTCAGACAATTTTATTTTATCTGAACCTCATAGTTAATTTTTGACAGTTTCTTTTCTTTTATCATTGTTTCATACTTCAACTTTCACACCAATCGTTGTGTCCTCGGCTTTCTGTGAATAACCATTCCACTTTCCCCATTTTTCTAGTTTTTCTTCTTTTACTGAAATTCATTAGCAGCCACATAAGCAGGATGTTCAAAGAAAACTTGCAGCATCAGCTGCTCAGAATCATCTGACGTGTTGGTTAAAAATGTTATTCCTAAACCCCACCCCAGACTTGTTGAATCAAATTCTCTGGAAATGGGAATGGGGTTCTATACCTTTAACAAGACTCCCAGGTGACTCTCATGCATGCTGAAGTTCAAGAATTACTGTTAATATACTGTCAGTCGTCTGTTCCCTCCCCGTAACCCAGGGATACCTGGCCTGGTCTTCTTACACTAGAAGCACCTCCTGTTATATGGATCTGTTTCATAATTTATTCCCCCTGTGAAAATGGTTTTTCAAGGTCATTAAAAAGATAATTCTGTTTACTGCCTTGCATTAATCTCTAAAGCTGTATTGAGATCTTGTCATCTGCCAGGCACCATACGTTTATAGACATTCTGTCATGAATCCAGAGATTGTGTGAACCCAGAAACTGCCTGTCCTGCCTGCCTTCTCCACCAGTGGCCTGGAAAACCACCTGCCCTGTCCTCCTCAACCCCATCTCTTCACATCTTAGGTCCTGCCCTCACCCAGCACAGCCACTTAACTTCCCAACACCATGGGTTTCTGTGTAATTCCTTTCCTTTTATTTGAAAAAAACCAAAACTGTAGGCCAAGGGAGATTGTAATCGATTTTACACACACTGGTTCCCTGGTCACGAAGTTTTGCAAACACTGAGATAAATAAAGCTAAACAGGAGCTGTAGAAATTCTCGGAGGCTTCAAATGTTCATGTCCATTGCCAAATTCCAAAAGAGAGCTATCATAAGCTTCATAATAATGTTTTTCTCAAACGTATTTAACACTAAATTTTTTCATGCTGGTAGATTCTTACCCACTCATTATGCTACGCTACACACACACACACACACACACACACACAGCTACACATACAGACATCACATGCGTACATGTGCCCACAACTCACTAGTGCTCTGTTGAACATGTTCGCAGAAGCCCTGCCGTAGTATCTGAATTCATGAGACCCTAATGCAAGAAAGAAGAGTGTGGGGTGTGTAGAAGAAGGCTTTCTGGGCCAGAGGGAAAACAGAACAAAGGGTCCCTCTACAAAACATTCTTTCTGCAAATGGTCAGCTAAGCCAATGGACAGTTCCCAGGGCAGGCTAAATCTGTCCTTGAAGATTTGCATGTAATTAGATCAGGACAAGGCAGGTAATAAAAATGAGCAATTGCAACCCTGGCTCATAGAACTCAACCAGAGGATGATGGGGGCAATGGCAATCTCAGAGATCACCCTGCTGGGCCCAGCCACTGTGGCCAAGCAGAAAAAAAGCGAGGTCTTGTTCGGTGTGCTTAGTTTTCAAGAGAATCTAGATATATAGGTTTGTGTATGATTTGTAAACGTTGGCAGTACGTTCAGAAATATTTTTAAACCACTCTGTGAGCCAAACTAAATACATCTGTGGGCAGAAGGTGACCTCTGAGTTACATCGTTTGGCTATTTCAGTTGTACAAACACTACTTTTAAATGCAGCTGGGTCAGGCCTGAGGGCACTGTGGTTTGGTGGAAGGATTATGACATTTACAGGCAGACAGACTTGGGTTTTACATCCTGGCTCTCCCACTTGCTAGCTACGTGACCGTGTGCACATCACTTAAGGAGCTTGATAAAACCAACCTCATGCGGTTGTTGTAGAGTAAATAAGAAAATGCAAAAAGAAAAAAAAAGAAAGTAACTGGCTGTTCTTGGTTTGCAAGGAAAGTTATTTCACTCTTATCCACGGCCATCTTCAGAGGAGGGAGCAGGTCTAGCTCCAGGCCTAGATCCCCCATCCTGAAGCGTGAGGCAGTAGTAAAGTCATGTGCAGTCTTTGGACCTAGACAACTGAGCTCGAATCCCAGCATCATCTCTCACTAGTACTATGACTTTAGGCAAACTACTTAACATTTTAAGTCTCAGTTCCTTCGTGACAAAGAAAGTTTTTATCTCTGCGTGATTGGAATGTCAAGTGCCTGCTACATGGCAGGAGCTGAATAGAGTAGAGCTCACCCCGGCTCCCATCCCTTGATTCTTCACACAATAAACACAGATGAGGGAGAAATCTCAAACAGGGCTACAACAGGTGTGATTCACTGTCCCTGCTGGCAGTGGGGCTGATAGTCCATGGGAGGTGTGGGAAGGGAGGGAAGGCCCGATGGCAGAGCAAGTTGACTTGAATTCCTGAAAGTACTTCAATAAGAGGAAAACTAACTAGATCACACCTGCACTTGCAAAGCTGCGATGAGATAGGAGGTACTGAAGGAAACCCAACTGGCTTCATCATCTAGCTTTTGATGAGTTAGAAAGTGAAAGAGTTGGCTAACGGGACCATCCTCAACTCTATGTATCCCACTAGCCTGTGGTGAGCAGGCTGGTCAGAGCCAGAAGGAGCACCCCACTTCCTCACCCAAAGCTCCAAGGAGAGAGACTGGAGCACCTTCTAGATGCAGTGGTTCTCAACCTTAGCTGCAAACAGGATTCATCTGGGGAACTTTAAAACTATGGAGATTAATGAAAGAAAAATACTGACCCATGTGAGGTCCAGCATGGGCATCACATTCTTTTTCCTGAGATAGAGTTTCACTCTCGTTGCCCAGGCTGGAGTGCAATGGCGCTATCTCGGCTGACTGCAACCTCTGACTCCTGGGTTCAAGCGATTCTTCTGCTCAGCTTCCTGAGTAGCTGGGATTACAGGTGCATGCCACCACGCCCAGCTAATTTTTGTATTTCTTAGTAGAGACAGGCTTTCGCCATGTTGGCCAGGCTGGTCTTGAACTCCTGATCTCAGGTGATCCACCCACCTTGGCCTCCCAAAGTGATGGAATTGCAGGCATGAGCCACTGCGCCCGGCCGGCATCACAACCCCAGATTTCCTTGGGGTTCCCCTGTGCAGCTGGTGGGGAGAGTCACTGTGCTGGGGACTCCAGGCATCCAGCACTGACTTCTGCCTCCAAAGTCTCCCGATATAGGGGCAGAGCTCTGGGCTTAGCCCACTCCCTTCTCCTCAACACACGCACACACACACACACACACACACACACACACACACACACACCCTTCCTTCCTGGAGAGACAGTGTGCAGGCAGAGGCAGGGTGACTCAGAATGCAAAGATGAGTGATTCAACCCAGCGCTTCCTCTGTTGTTTTTTTTTTCTTTCCACTGTCCCCTCCTTCACTGGTGTCTGGTAGAAGGAAATGGGCTGTGGAGTCAGGTCCCCTGGGTTTGAGTGCCAGCTGTACCATTCAGCAGTGTCATGACCTTGAACAAATGAATCATTTAACCTCTTGGAGGGCTTTCCTGTCCATCAAAGGAGGAAAATAAAATTCTCTTCATGAAGTCATTGGGAGAACTGAATGAGATAATGTATCAGATGGTGCCTGGCACTAGATCAGAGGGTCAGTTGATGTTAGCGTCTTTCCTTTCTGCACCTCCTGCATGAATAACCGCACCCCAGGAAAAACAGTAGCCGCAGCAGGGTTCACACAAACCGGGATTCTGCTTCCTGCTGTGGTCACCTTGGACACGATGTGTCTTCACATTGCTGTAACTTTGTTTTGCTATATATAAAGATGAAGACGACAATGTGATAGTGTTTCTGTATAGAATAAAATAAGTAATGCAATAAGCACAATACAGGGGAGACCCAGTATCCAACAACAGACGGTCTAGAAAGCCCTCATGGCTGCTAGATATTAGGATTGTTACTACTATTAATAGCCACCTTCGGGCAAACTCTGAAGGCAGATTCCACACTGCTCCTCCTTGGGTGGTCACTCATGATGCCCGGGGGCTCACTGCCTGCATTTCCAGAAGCTGTCCTCCAGCGAGAGTGTGGTGTCAAGGGTGACATCTGGCCCAGAAGTCCCCAACTCTCCCTGGAACTCCAAGCTTGTATAATTAACTTCACGTGGCTGCTCGGTTGTCAACCAGGTGTCTCGCGTGTAGTGAAGATCACTTGAGTCCACCCAGCCCAAACCCCGCTTGTCCAAGGGGGACAGAGCATCTTCCTTCTTTACTCCTCTCCTCTCTCGGGCACAGCCCCTCTGTCAGCAAGTCCTGGCAGCTCTCCTTCCAAATCTGTCTGGAAGCTGAGCTCTTCTCTTTCCGGCTTCAGACCCCTCCCTCTCACCTGGGTCTCGGGGTGGTCCCCCATGCTACCTTTGCCCTCTGATCTCAACTCAGCTCATGAGTGTTCTTGAAGAGCATACTTTGTCATTCATTCAGCAGTTGCTTACTGAGCATTTACTATGTGCCAGGCACAGTTCTAGGCTCTAACAGCTTTGCACCTTCCTCTGAGCCCGCCAGGAAGCCTTCTCTGACCTCCTCTCTTTCCCTTTTCCCTTTTGTCTCCCCTCCCCAGATCCCTAACAGTCCAGACCTGCTCCCACTCCAGGCCTTTTTACCTAAGCGGGCCCCTTCCTACCTGGAAAGCTCCTCCCCCAATCCCTGGACGGGCTTGCTTCCTCATCCTCTTTCAGGCTTTGCTGAGCATCAACACCCGGTGAGGACTTCCCCATCCACCTGATTTAGCCCTTTTCCCATTTGTGCTGAGGATACTCACCAGCAGCACTTGAGGCTGCAGCATTTACCCCAAAATAACTTTGCCACAAAATACCTCACTTTTCTTATTCTAGTCACATCATCCTAGAATATGAACTTTGAAAACAAAACACATCATTCATTTACTGCATTGTGTTTTTAGTAGTGGTGTTTCTATTGACAAAATACAGTAAGTCTCAATCACCGAAAATATTGAATCCTAGAAAACCTGGCATCCCTATGCATAATTGTTCTCCAACAGTTGGCTGAGATTCATTTGATGAATCTGATTTTTCTGAAATAGATTATTCTGATGATTCAGACAATTCTAATGTTAGTTTTGTTTAGAAAAAACTCCAGGAAACATTTTTACATTTTGTTTTCACATCGAAAATCAGTCAGATTTGCTACAACTTCAAAGAGCGTGTTTATATAAAATTAAACGAGCTCTAGCAGTGAGCTGAATTTTTTTTCTAAACAGGGAAACAGTTATTAATAAATTTGCAACTGTCTCCCCACTCCCAGCTTCCGCTCCCTGCTACACTTTCCTCCCGGACAGTTGAGACTGCCCACATTCCATGTGACCTTTCCACAGCTCAGCTCTTTGAGGGCATGACTTCTGCCTGTTTTGTCCACTATTGCGTCCCCAGCCCCTGGAAGGCTCCGTAAATGTGTACGGAATGAACGGAACACGTGTTTCGAAGTGTTCTGGCTTGTTTTAAGTCGGTCACCCTCAGAACCATGAGCCCTAGTGGCAGGTATTTGTCAGCCTGGTGCTGGGGACCCTGCAGGGAGCAATCCACCCAGGCCCCTCGGGATGCTGCGTCCTTTCGCTCCCTGGGTGCTGGCCGAAGCTATAAAGGAACTCCCGCACTCCCTTTGCTAAGCCAAACACTCAGCCCTGCACTGTGCGCTCTCACCCCTCCCTGCCCTTGCCCTTGTGCATCTGTTCCTCCTCCATGCTGGGAGCCATCCCCAGGATTGGGGCATGGTCCACATGGAGCCCCTATAAAGGCAGCTGGGACGGCAAGGGGCACCAAGGCCACTGGGCCTGACCCACTGCCTGTGTTTGCAGAGGTGGTCGGTGTGGGCTGCGTCCTGGACGGGGTGCGCTACAGCAACGGCCAGTCCTTCCAGCCTAACTGCAAGTACAACTGCACGTGCATCGACGGCGCGGTGGGCTGCACACCGCTCTGCCTCCGCGCGCGCCCCCCGCGCCTCTGGTGCCCCCACCCGCGGCGGGTGAACATACCCGGCCACTGCTGTGAGCAGTGGGTGTGCGAGGACGACGCCAGGAGGCCGCGCAAGACCGCGCCCCGTGACACAGGAGCCATCGGTGGGTGTGGGTCCGGGTGGGCTGGGGCTGGGACCCTACAAATGGGTTATGGACCCTCCTGGAGCTCTGACTACCACAGAATGACTCATTCCCCAGTCTACTGCTTACCAGCTTTGTGACCTTGAGAAAGTCACATCTCCCTTGAGACCCTATTTCCCCATCTGTAAGACAGAAATAATCCCATCTGTCCAGCCTGCCCTGTGGGATCCTCCCAGCATAAAATGAGGAGTGCTTTGTAAAGAACGAAGTCCTAAAAGTGCAATCCATTATTATTCTACTAAAGAGTTAGGAATGGGTGATGGAAGAGTTGATGTGTGGGTACCTGGGAGAGGAGGCATGAGCAAGAGGAGACGGGTCTAGTAGAAGATTCATGATGACTTGAGGCTTCCCCCTTGCTAGGAAGATGGGTGGGCAGCGAGATTTTAGCCAGGCAAACCAGGTAAGAGGAAGCCCTGGAAAAAGAGGGTGGGGACAGGTCCAAGGGTTTCATTGCTGCTTACTGAAATCTAGCCCAGTGCCATACACTTAGCAGGTACACAATTAATGTTTGTCATACTGGTGGGTGGGTAGACGGATGGATGAATAGATAGATGGGTGGATGGATGGATGAATGAATAGATGAATGAATGCATGAATACATGGATGAGTGGATGTATAGATGATGGATGAATAGGTGGATAATGAATGGATAGATGATGAATGAATGGGTGGATTAATACATGGATGGATAAATAGATGGATGTGTAAATAGATGGGTGAATTGATGAGTGGATGGATAGATGAATTGATGGACAGGTATATAAATAGACAGATGGGTGGGTAGATGGATGGATGAATAGATGTATGTATGGATGAATGGATGAATGGATGGATAAATAGGTAGATGAGTGGACAGATGGATGAATGGATGGACAGATTAATGGATGAATTGAAGAATGGATGGATGATGAATAGATAGATGGATGTATAAAATAAATGGACGATTGGATGGATAGATGATGGCCAAATAGGTCAATGATGGATGGATGGATGGATGAATGGATGGATGGATGGATGGATGGGTGGATGGATGGATGGATGGATGGGCTAATGAGGATCTGAGGGAGTAGAGGCAGTGAAGAAGGAACAGACGCAAGAGCCATTGCTTGAGTGAGACTGAAGATCTTAATGTCAATCTAATGCATGGGGTGAAAAACAAAGAGGGCCAGAGACTGACTCCCAGAGCTTGCCATTGCCTAGGATCAAACACAAGAGAAGGAGTACATTTGGACCAAGGGATATCTGCTTTGTTTGAAACAGACTGAGTTTAAGGCAGATTGCCTTGCCCATGGGATCTTAAAGAGGAGCTTCCAGTTGCTCTTTATTGGGAGAAAGGAGAGGAAATAGGAGAGCTCTGAAGTCACCTGCTTGAAGCTGCTGGTGGTGATGGCTGGGGTGGTCTGAGGGTAACATGCAGAGTGAGACAGAGGGGGCCTGAGGCAGAGGTCTGGGAATGCTGACATGTGAAGGGTGAACAGGAGAAGAGGAGGCCTGGAGAAACAGAGAGGAGGGATGTGTGGGGAAAACCACGAGCATCTGATGCCATGAAAACCAGTGGATAAGGACGTTTCTAGAGGAAAGTGCTTACCAGGCAAGTGGTGGAGAGCAGTGGAAAAGTGGCAATAGAGTGGGAGTTCTGTGAGTATCGGTAGCTTTTTTGGCAGATTGTTGTAAGTGCTGGAGATTGCTCAGGGACGATGTCGGGCAGGATTTCTCAGCCTCGGCACTGCCGACATCTTGTACGAGAGAACTTTTGTGGTGGGGTTGTCATGTGCATGGGAGGATGTTTAGCAGCAATTTATGCATGGCTACAAATCCTAGCAATCCAATCCCTGGCCTCTACCCACTAGGTGCCAGTAGCACCCTTTTCCTCAGAGCTGTGACAACCAAAATCACCTCCAGACACTGCCAAGCACACCCTAGGAGACAAGATGCCAGCTGGAGAAGTAATCCTGTGTGGACAGGAGGAGGCCTCCAGGAAAGCTTTGTCCCCAACAGCCCCAGGGCAGCAACGCAGCTGTCCCACCACCGCCTCCCCAGCAGGGCCACACGAGGGTCACGGGGGGAGCAGGGAGGCAGAAGCTGTCCACCCTTTGTGTGTGGCCCAGTGACCCCGTTCTGACCTAGCACAAGCAGAGGCCCTGCCTAGCTGAGGCGACCCACAAACCAAAGCCTTTTTATCATCCTAGGCAAATCCCTCCCCACGGCCTCCCAAGATGCTTGCAGCCCCAGCTCCTCCCACCTGCCCCTCCTGTCCTGGGATCCTCCCGTTTCAAGTCTCTCCCTCTGTCACTCAGTGATTCCTGCATTCATTCAACAATGTTCCCTGACACCTATAAGCTTAGAGGAACTGACTTCCCTTTCCTCTTTCTCCTTCTAATCGTAGTTAGATTTCTCTTCTTTCCTGTGTTTCTCTTTCCCCCTCTCTTTCCTTCCCTTCATTCTTTTTTTTTTACTTTTATTACCTTCCTCCTGTTTCTTTCTCTCTCACACTTTTTCTCTCTCCTCCTCTCCTTCTTTCTCTCTCTTTTTCCCCAGAACTTCTGTCTTTCCATCCCTTCCCTTCCCTCTCTGCCTGTTCCTTCCTCTCCTCATGCACATGTGTGTTCAGATGGGACAGGCCTCCTCTCCTCTGCGTCTTGTTCCATCTTTCTATGGGCAGTACTCTGTCTTTACAGCTTTTTACCTGCCTCAGTCTGGAGCTCACCACCATTTTCCATTTTTCAGGTAGAGAACACCTACCATCTTCTAGACGCTGGGGATACATGCATCAATAGGACCATCCAAGAGTGGGTAGTTGGGTTGGCTGACAGTCAAAGACCACACAGACTCACATTAACCAAGGGCTTAGTTTACTAAAAGTCAGGACAGCTTGGTGCTTTCGTAGGCCTGAAGTCATCTTTCCTATCACAGCCCTGGAAAGAGATGCTATAGTCAACCTCATCTGCAGGGGGCGTCCTGAGGCGAGGAGGTGTGAGCTAGCTTACCGGGAGTTACAGAGCCAGCAAGTAGCAGTGCTGCCAGTTGAATTTGACTCTGAAGCCTGTATGTTCTCTTTATTTTATTTATTTATTTATTTTTGAAACAGAGTCTCACTCTTTAGTCCAGGCTGGAGCACAGTGGCGTGATCTTGGCTCACTGCAACCTCCGCCTTCCGGGTTCATGTGATTCTCCTGCCTCAGCCTCCGAGCAGCTGGGATTACAGGTGCATACCACCACACCCAGCTAATTTTTTGTATTTTTAGTAGAGACAGCATTTCACCATGTTGGCCAGACTGGTCTCAAACTCCTGACCCCATGATTTGCCTTTCCCAGCCTCCCAAAGTGCTGGGATTACGGGTGTGAACCACTGCGCCCAGCCCTGTATGTCCTCCGCATCACTGACACAAAACGTTAGGTGCTGGGATGGAGCTACTTGCCGTTAAACTTCCCCCAAATAAACTTCATCTCTGCAGAGGCAGGGGAATGTCTTTTAAAAGTCTTCTTCCCAGCCAGAAGCCGTGGCTCATGCCTGTAATCCCAGCACCTTGGGAGGCCGAGGCAGGCAGATTACCTGAGGTCAGGAGTTCGAGACCAGCCTGACCAACATGGTGAAACCTCGTCTCTACTAGAAATACAAAATTAGATGGGCATGGTGGTGCACACCTGTAATCCCAGCTACTTGGGAGGGGGAGGCAAGAGAATAGCCTAAAATCCCGGAGGCAGAGGTTGCGGTAGCACCATTGCACTCCAGCCTGGGTAACAAGAGCAAAACTCTATGTCAAAAAAAAAAAAAAAAAAAAAGTCCTAGCTCCAGCACCTAGGAAGAGGCTTGATGCGTACTGACTAAAAATGTAGGCCCTATTACAGCTAGTGCTCGACTTACGACCACGGTCAGGACCGCGGACCGGTCGTAACATTATTTGGTCATAAGTTGAGTAGGCGATATGTACAGTTGAAATGGTACACGCGGAGATGGTAGTGCTGCCGGAAGCTGGTCCGCACTGTCGTATGCCCAGCTGGGCAACGTTTGCGCTGCCAGACGCGGAGCAGTCGTGGCTAGCGATTGTGGTCGTAAAGTCGAATGGTCCTAAGTTGCATAGGTGGTAAGTTGATCAATACCTGTACTGTGTTGCTAGCCCCTCAGGCAGGTGCAGGTGTTATTGTTCTAATAAGGAGACAGGCCCAGGTGAGTTATCTAAGATCACACAGCCTGTAGGTGGTAGAGCAGAATTTGAACGTGGGCTCACCTGTCTGTAAAGATGGGTTTCCTCCCATGCTTCCACACTGCCTCTCTTGATCAGAAAAATACAAGGACCTGAGAACATGTCCTCCACTCCCTGGGTATCTTTGCTGGTTAGAAACCAACTTGCTGTCCTGTGGGGAGGGACAGCCAACTTCTCCCTGTTCCTCTGAGTTCTGGGGACCCCAAACCTCAATGCGGTGAAGGGGAGGGTTGGGGCTGCTGGGAGCTCTAGACTCATGCAGATTCTGGTCCCCATACACAGACGCTGCGGGTGAGGTGGAGCCATGGCACAGGAATTGCATAGCCTACACAAGCTCCTGGAGCCCTTGTTCCACCAGCTGCGGCCTGGGGATCTCCACTCGGATTTCCAATGTTAACGCCCAGTGCTGGCCCGAGCAAGAGAGCCGCCTCTGCAACCTGCGGCCATGCGATCTGGACCTCCGTACGCTCGTTAAGGTGGGTCCAGAGCAGGGCTGGACGTCTGGACTGCACAGGCAGACAGACCTGGGTTTGGGCCTCGCTCCTGAACGTCCCTGTGGGGAGCCTTTGTAAAGTGGGAATAATTAAGCCCACCTGGTAGGTCTGGTGTGACAGCTGTTTGGGATAATGCAGGTTACCAGGCTGGTGCATTGTGAAGTTAACTCAATGGAAGCTTTGGTAGTTATCTTATTCGAATTAGGATCACTCGAAAGAACCCTCAGGAACCCTCAGGAGTGGTCTTCTATAATGATTCTGAGGGCTCCTTACCAATTTCCACCCTCCCTCCACTCCCACACCAGCCCTCTACACAGAGCAGCCACACTGGGTGATACAGGGAGCCCTACTTGAGGCTCGGAAACCCTAGAGTCAAATGTCTACTTGCATTAATTGCACGTGACTGTGGCCAATCTCTGTTCATCTCTGAGCCTCCATTCCCTCATCATTAAGATATTAGAGTTGATCTCTGAAATCCCTTTCAGCTTTGAGAGTCCAAGATAATTAAAATAGAGCATTAAAAATAATTGGGCCACATTAGCTTGAGCCCCAGCCTCAGAGTTAGAAGTGGGTCTTATTTATCTAATTCAAGTCCCCCTCGCTCATGCCATAGGGGTGGTCAGCCTTTTGTCACATGAAAAACAAAGCAAACGCCTCTTGTGTAGAAAAGCCAGCACAGCTCCCTGTGATCCTCTCCAGACACCCAACGTCACTCCTCATCCCCAGACATCTTCTCCAGTCAGCTCTGTATTCTTCCTCTCTGATTATTTTTCTCTGTATACTAGCCTTTGTATTTTCTGGGCTTGGTATACAGTAGGCATTCTATAGACACCTCTTAACTGAAAACATAACATGGAAAAGTTACCAGCTGCAGAAAAATGAGAGCAAAGGTCCTCAACTGAGTAAGATGGCTCTACCATTACTGGACCAGATAATGCAAGTCCAAACCAATTTTGGTTTCCAACCATTTTTTTTTCCAGAATTATGTGCCCTAAGAGGGTTTCCCAAATTGGGCAAGCTCTATGCCATCTTACAGCCTGGATCTAGCATGGTGCTGGTACATAGTAGACCCTGAGAGCCCTCAATCCAATGGGTTTAGTAAGTGCCTACTCTGTACTAGGCATGGAATTACACCACAGAGACGCAGAAGAAACACCAAATCTCAAGTAGCGGTAGAGCTACCGTTAAATAATGTCAATCCATTTGAATAAGTTGCATATTAAAGATGTGTATGAGAGGCAAAGGTGGGCGGGGAGATTGGGGCAAAGCGTGTCCCCTGAGCATGGAGTCCTGATGCCAGTTCTGCCACTAGCTAGCCTGGGGAGCTTGCTTGCATGAAGGAGCTACATAGGCTCCCCGTGTTGGTGTAGCCATGATGAATGACTGGGCCTAGGCAAGACAAAAATGCAGGATGAAAGAGAAACTGCAGGCTGTGAGATACAACCCAAACAAAACGTTTTTCTCTGTGGTCCTCCGTCTACCCCTGTGCAGTACGCTGGGTCTCACTGTGTTTGCTGTTGTCCCTTCTGGGAGAATGCTATGAAGCTGAAAGTAAATTCGAATGCTCCCACATAGTGAGAAGGGAAATCGTGGGGCTCAAGGGAAGAAGGTGGTTGTCTATTCTCTGAGCACCCCCACTAAAAGCTCCTTTTCTTTCCTTCAGGCAGGGAAGAAGTGTCTGGCTGTGTACCAGCCAGAGGCACCCACGAACTTCACCTTGGCGGGCTGTGTCAGCACACGCTCCTATCGACCCAAGTACTGCGGGGCTTGCACGGACAACAGGTGCTGCATCCCCTACAAGTCCAAGACCATCAGCGTGTCCTTCCAGTGTCCTGATGGGCTTGGCTTTTCCCGCCAGGTCCTATGGATTAATGCCTGCTTCTGCAACCTGACCTGTAGGAATCCCAATGACATCTTTGCTGACTTGGAATCCTACCCTGACTTCTCAGAAATTGCCAACTAGGTGGGCACAAAGCTTGGGTCGTGGGGGCTGGCCCAACGCCTGCAAAGCAGTCAGCCATTGGGGCAATAACTTCTCAGCATTGAGCCTTGCTCTGTCAATTTCCCACTCATTCCTAGTTACCTTGATCTGGACCCTTGGCCTCCTTTTCTGTCTCTAACCACCCAAATGACCCATGATGGGGCTGCTAGGCCCATACTATGAGTTTTCTCCCTGGCAATATTAAGCATCTACTCTAAAGAAAAACGCCTGTTGCTAGCTGTTCTGGACTACATCCAGGCCTGATCCAGCCTTTCCAAATCACAAGAAGTCCTGCTGGATCTTGCCTAACTCCCAAGAAATGGAATCGGTAGACTTCCAATATCACTGATTTCTTCTTTAGATGCCATATCACAAGACTCTCTGGGCCCATTCAGATGGATAGATGGGATTTAGAACAATAGAATCATCTATTATTTGGAGACTGCCACGTGGTGCTGTAATGGGTAATTCTGCCCTCAGCAAACCCAAACTATCCGGATTCCAAATATGTGTGCACCCCAAGATCATCAAACATTTGCCAAGTGAGGTGAACAGTTGTTTGGTTTTGATTTTTAACAGAAAGTTGTATCCATTAACATGAGTACTGTTGAGGTTAACTTTCTCTTCGCCCCTACGCTATGAGAGGTACAGATTAGGTTTATCCCAGTCAGAAATAAAATTTGATAAACATTCTTATTGGTGGGAAAAGTCACCAGTTAATACTTCAGAGACAGGGCAAGGTCAGCCCATGTCAGGAGGACTGATTGACCCTCACGCTGAATCAGCGGCTGACTGGCAGGGCTTTGGGCAGCCGGCCGGGCTCTTCCTTGAATCTTCTCTCGTGTTCTGCTTGGGGCTCATAAAAATTGCTAGGGCCTCTGAACTGGCCTGTCTGGCCCCTGAGAGTGGTGCCCTGAAGCATTCTTCTACTCTTACAGAGCCTTGGGAAGCCCAGCTGCAGACCATGCCAGACCCACTGAAATGACCAAGACAAGTTCAAGTTGGGGTGTGGGTCAAACTAAGAAGTGAGTCTACTTGGTAGCAGCCTGGGTGGCCTCCAGAGCTGGAGGCTATGGGACTCCAGTGGTCCCCGTGCTCAGGACACATCTATTACAGAGACTCATTTCACAGCCTTCGGTTCTGCTGACCAAATGGCCGGTTTTCTGGTATGAAGACAGAGGTTTACCAGTTGTTTAGAAACAGAAATAGACTGAACAAGGGTTTAAAGCTGGTTAGGTTGAAGCTAAAAGGCAAAGGCTATTGTTAATGGAAATCAGGCTATTATTTATTTTGTTAGTAAAATATAATATTTACTATTATAACTCTTTTATTTAGGATCTTTTCTGTGCCATTGTTCTCAGTGCTTTGTGTATATTAGCTCACTGAATCTTCACAACAATGTTGAGAAGTTCCCATTATTATTGCTGTTTTTACAAATGTGAAACGGAAGCTCAGAGAGGCGAGAAGGCTTGCCCAGAGTCACCCAGTTGGTGAGTGGGAAAGTTAGTATTCAGATAGAAATTGGACTGTCTTTATAACCCATATTTCGCCCCCTTTTTAAAAGAGTTTCCAAATGTGTCAGAATAGGAACACATCTTGGAATAAATGGCTTGATTTTTCATTGCCATTTTTTCCTCTTATTGTCTTTCCAGCTCCTTTCCAAAAGATAAGAGTATCTGATTTTCTGACAATTTAGGTGCTTAGGCATCCAAACATATGGAACAGATAAAAATCCACGAATCCTCTATAGCTTATCTCCTCTTTCCAATCAGAACCAGTTCTCATCACACATTTAAATGATGATTCTGTTTACCCAATGCTGCATGTTGAATGTTGTGTAATTATTCACAGGGAATTATGTGCAGTGTGCAGAGAGATTCCTAAACAGGAAAAGGACTGGGAATACGTTCTCCTTACTGTGACCTCTGCAAAGCCTAGTCCAGTGCAAGATATACAGTGGTGCTCATTAAATACTTGATGAATACAGGAAGCCATGCATGTGTTCCTACTTTTATTCAGAAGCTCTCTTCTTCCAAAGCTAAATGAAAATGTAATTTTAGTAGTCAAAATTTTCTATTAAGTGCCATAGCAAAAAAGACATTTAATATTTTAAAGAAATGTGTATGTATATATATATATATATATATATATATATACATATATTTGTCTATACATATGCAAGAATTCTTGTATAAAGAGAATTCACCCCATGAATGATCTCTTCTGTAAGTCAGTGTGGATCATATTAGATTTTCTTAGAGTGAAAACACCTACTGTCTACAAATTACAAGGCTAGATGACAGCTCACTCCATTTGAAATTCAGTGGAAATGCAAAAGCTAGGTTCTGACTGAATTTTCATCTCAATTTGGGAAACTGAAATTAGCTTTCAAAGATCATAGGAAGCCTGGTTGGAGAAACTAGGGATTATTCTTGGCAATGGGTAGGAGAAGGTGGCCAGAGTCACTCAGGCACCACTAGTTTTGAGAAATGGAAATATCTTATGCAGAGCCCAGAGGCCAAGTCTCAGACTCATGGGTTGAAGCCATGGAGAAGGAAATTTGGATCCAATTTAACGAAGTCCTAGAAAGAACAGTCAGAATTTCCCTGCAATGGTGTGGCCTGATTCAATAAAAATTTATAATAATAAATATAATAGAAAAATCTTCATTGATTGTTTATTTGGTGCCAAGCACTATGCAAAGTTCTTCATTACCTTATTTAATTATGACAGAAATTTTGAGTATGTGTCTCTTCACCATTTTATAAATGGTGACTTTTAAATCTGAGACTCAGATGTTCCAAAAAGTCAGCCACCAAAAAGTTAGAGCCCAAACATTAGCTTGTTCTACCAGCCCCTGCTCTTTCAGAGGCCTCTAGAAAAGACCTGAATGCCTCCTATTGGAGAATCACATCTACAAGGGCTTCAGATAGACCAAGTAGATCATCACCTCTCTGGTCCCTTGTTAACTATATGTTCTGAGACAGAGGCAAGGTACACTAAGGGTTATCCTTTGCTGAGGAAATTTACATGAGTACTTAGAGTGAATTATGCAGGTGTGCTTAGGTGTGGGAAAGGGAGGGAGACCTGAATTCACCAACGTAAATTGTGCTAAACCTTATTATAAACATTTGACAAATTCTTAGCTCACACCAAGCCTTGTGGAAGGTGCTTTTCTGCCATATCTCATTTAATCCTTACAGCAAACCTAAAGAACATGGCATATCATCTGAGTCTCAGAAGTTTAGTAGTTTCCTCAAGGTCTTACCAGCCAGTGAACAGCAGACCCAGACTGGAAACTCAGGATGGTCTGAAACCTGAGCCGTCTCTTCTGGTAATATGCCTGTTCTGTCCTCCAAATCAAAAGGCATGATTTTATAGGAGGCATTATACTGACAATAGCTGTGATTTTAACTTTGAAAATGATTCAGAGAGTGATCAAAGAAAGTGGATTCAAATGATATGATTATCTATAATCTTGCTAGCTTTGTACTGTGTGTCCACAGAAATTACGGGGAAGTGATTCAACTCCAATTATGTTGAACTATGTCACTGCTTTTTACAAACTTGTCTTGATGCAAAGCAGCCACAGTGATAACCCTGCATATCTGGAAATCCTAACAGTCAACTATGTATCTCTGCGTGTGTATATATATATATATATATGTATGTATGTATCTGTTTTCAAACTGTGATTTCATATTTAAATATTCCTACTGCCATTTTTGTAACTAAAAAAACTACACATGAGGAAATGTCTTAGAATTTTCCAATAGAAGAAAAATAACACTTGGGTAATCTGTCATGTTTTACAATAGTCTTCATTTTTCTCATGATTTGTGTAGCGTGGAACGTGTTTGCTTAGTATGAAGGGTTCTCATTGCTCAGTTTCTCTGTTTTAAGATTTTTCTCCTTAAGGTAATAAACCATCAGCAAAGTCACTTACTGGATTCAGTGGCTTCTCTTGTACATGCAGCTGTTATGAGGCAATGATGGAGCATCGAGCACGTTCAATAAATGTGCAGATGGTGGAAATCAGGCCTGATATTTTATATATGGAAATTAAAATGGCTCAAAAGTTTGGAAATGGGCTTAGAAACACAAATTTTAGAACTCAAAGGCTGCCAATGTATCCAGGTTGAAGGACACCTCATGTAAACATAAAATGAAGTTTTTGGCATTCATTCATTCACTCACTCACGTAGTTAGTGACTTTCTACATCCCCAAGGAGACTGAATACTGTGAGGTCAGGGACTGTAACTGCATCCTCTGGGCCTAGCTCAGAAGCAGGCGCACGTGAAGGACTGAGTAAGCAGGGACCGGATGGATGGACAGAGTGACTATTGCCAGCTGCCTTAGGAACCAGGAGGAGGAAAAAGCAGCGTAAGGGAGGCTGCAGATGCAGTGGAAGCAGTCCTGATGTTGGGCCTCAAGTGGATCTTGATATACTTTATTCCTTACTAGGCCCATTTGAGCCTGTTCTCCAGCTATAGAAAATAATAGTACTTACTCCTCGGTGGGATGCATATTGCCTACAAAATTTTAAAATAGAGCTTAGAACACTAAGCACTTAATAAATTTAGAACATTAAGCACTTACTAAACACATCTATTATTAGCTGAGTTTCTTCATAAGCTGGGGCTAATCAGCAAGGCTGCAGTAAGAATTAATGTCAATGTGTGTGTTTGTATACTTAATTTATTTAGTCCTTCTTTAAAACAGCAAATGTAAAGAAAACTATCTATACTTATAGTGTCACTATTTATACTCAGTTGAATGCTCTTTTACCTCAACTATAGACTGCTTAGCCCCTTAATTTTTTTCTATTTATGTTTTCAACGTATGCTGTAACTTGATTGAAAACCCAGCTTCGCTAAAGCAGAAAGGGTGCGTTATACTTTCCTGTGTCTCCCAAGGCTGGCACAGCACACAGCATATGCTGAGCTGGATGAGCAGATGTGCAGATGGCTGCGGTGATGAAGTGATGCCTCTTTTGATACCTCCCGGCCAAATCCCTCTCATCCACTGTACCCCAAAACACATGATGAGAGTGTAATAGAAGTGGAGGGGAGACAGCATTCCAATAAAAATGTAATTGTCACATGCATTCTTTCTAAGAACACTATCCTGAAGCATATTGGTTTCAGAATTGGAACTTAGGTTGTGGAGACCTGTGGGAGCCTCAGATCAAGATGAATATATAGATGTTAGGGCACTGTGTTAGGCTATCAGATGGCTGAATTTTGGGGAAAATGGGATTTAGGGGAAACGGCCAGAGCATTTTATTACGAAGCATTTTATTATCAAAAGCATATTGCAGAGCTCTCAATCACCCCTACTGACAAAATTGGAATGCAAAGGCATCCTCTGTGTTCAGAAAGCCAATTTCTAGTTGAATCTGGGTTCTTTCTAAATGTAGGACTGAGCAAAAATGACTTCTGAGGAGACAAGCTGGCACGAAGCCCATGCACTGTTAAATATGTTACATTCTGTAACGAGTGTCTCCAGATCCCAGCCTAAGCCTCACTGTTCTTATTTTTCACACAACCCTAACAGTGTAGATTTCTTAGTCCATTCCATATAAAGGGAGAGGAAGCTGTCCCAAGCAGGCTTATCGATAGCAGAGGCCAGCCAGGCAGCAGAGGAGGAGGCGGAAAAATTAAAAACCAGATGAAAGATACAAAAGCAGGTCACCCAAGTCCGAGTGGGCCGAACACCCGTCACAGTCAATAAAAGCCTTACGGGCACCCACAGTCTTGGTTAGTTCCGGGAACTAACTGATGTTCCACAATCCCAAGGCATCAATAGGTGATGGCATGAGTCATGTGCTCAGCGAACTGTTGTAAAAGACATCAAGGAATTTAATCCATTTTAGAATAGGCTGGGTAAGCAACTGAATCTCTCTAAGCCCTGGTTTCCTCATCTATGAAGCAAGAAAAACTCCTCACAAATAAATAACAAAAAGGGGAAAGAATATGTAAAGCACACTATATAGTATTAAAAGAAGTGTGCATTGTGTGCTTTGCTCTATGCTGGCCCTATCGATACAGAAGAATTCCCACCAGCCTGGCCAACATGGCAAAACCCCATTTCTACCAAAAATACAAAAAAATTAGCCAGGGTGATGGTGTGCCTGTAGTCCCAGCTACTTGGGAGGCTGAGGTAGGAGAATCGCTTAAACCTGGGAGGTGGAGGTTGGAGGGGGCTGCATTCCACATTCCAGCCCCGGTGACAGAGCAAGACTCTGTCTCAA